CTCCCTCCCTTCTCCCCTGGGAATAGCAGCCTCAACCCCAGCCCACAGCAGAAAGAGAGATGTCTCCCAGACCTGAGTGCAGAAAGTTGATTTGCATGCATGGATCTCAGCTCTGCAAATGACAATGGCTCCTAAAGCCCGTCCGATCAAAGAAGCAAGGAAGGTCTACAAGACATTGCCCAGAGACTTCTAGGGGCCTGGAGCTCAGGAGCAGCGGTGTAAGAGGCCAAGTCAGCAAAGCTGTGAGGCCACCCAGGTTTGGGTCCAGGCCTTCCCACCAGACTTCTCCCTCTCTTCTCTCTTTCTAGCCCCAAAAGCTGCACTGCTTAGTCCATAACAACCAGGACTCAACAATCTCACATTCCATCAACTCAAGTTTTGCTTCCCTCTGGTAGCAACCTTTTCCCCCAACATTCCTTTCCATTTTCTTCCATTTCCTCAAAACTTACCCATTCTGGGTCTTACTCTCTTGGGACCCTTTTCAAAAGCCACAGCTATTTTTCTGACAGGCAAACCCTTGCTTCAATATAAGTGGTTGATGTTAGAGCAATAAGTGCCTTTCCCAAGGGTTTTTGCACTTGAAACAAGAGTGAATCCCCAGTGGTAGACATTCTGGAAGTTTCAGACCTGCTGAGAGCTTCTGGGAAACAGGAGGGCAGATAACTTGGTCAGAGCCAGGCTCAAAGTCTTCTGTGGGCAGAGGACAAGGGTCTCAGGTTTTATACAAACACATCCTCTGCCTGCACATTAGTTATGCCGAAGGTCAAGGAAGCAGACAATAGTCAGCCCCACAAAGGCAGTGGTTGTTGGGGTGTGTGCATGTGGGCGTGAGTGCATTTACATGCATGTGGGCCTGTGTGCACATTTGTGCACATTGGAGAGGAGGCCATCCATTGGTTATTGCTCCTCAGCTTGTGTCTAAAAGATAAAAATGACAGCTGTTTGGTTTACACAGCTAATTAACCTGCAGAATGCACTGTCTAAGACTGTCATAAAGGCAGCTGGGTAATTAAGTTTTCCCTCAGAAAAGAGGGAGTGGGAGATAAATAAGACATTTGGGGAGCAGACACACATTGGGGGAGACACTGATGGCAGCAGGAAGCAGGGCTGGAAAGTTTCCAGGTGAAACCCACGGGTTCCTAAGGAGCCCAGAGCTGACCCAAGGCCATGGCTCAGCCCCTGCCAGTGCTCACCTGAGGCCATGGTCACCCTCAGGGTCACACCCAGCCTGGCCATCTCTGTGAAGCAGGCAGAGATGCTAGAGCTGAATAAACATAGATAGAGGTTGACTAACCCAACCCCTTCATTTCATAGGTAGGAAAGTGGTGATCTAGAGAGTAGCCATGACCTTCAGAAGGTCACATCCCTATTCTAAGTGTCAGGCCAGGACCAGAACTAGAGAGTCTTCACCCCCACCTAGGGCTACTTTGCTAACCATGATGGCCTGCAGATTCTCCAGCAAGTCAGATTGGCAGGGGTCACCTTGGAGGCAGAGAGCAGGCGAGCCCTAGGATGGGTTGGTTTCAGTAAGTACGAGAGTGTCCTGATCAGAGAAGAAATGCTCAGGAGTAGATTTGTAGGTGGGGTGGCCTCTGCATGCACACACAGGTCCGAGGGAGGCAGGTGGATAAAGACGGATGAACCATTTAGTGTCTTCTAGACACCATGCCAGTGGTCACTTGATTCCTTCCTTTATACAGTCTTAACAACAACTCATTGAAATGGGTGCTGTCATTACTCCCATTTTTCAAATGAGGAACTGGGGCTCAGGGGAAGCATGGGAGGGAATGAGGGTAGGGGGGGATCACAGACATTTTCATCCATGCCTTCAGCCATAGGAGCAATAAGCTTACCCGGAGGTTATCCAGGGGCTACAAAAAAGGAAACAAGGGAACGGGGCCATTCTGGTAACAAACATCCTGGGGCCAATGCCAAAGAGTTAAAGGGCAGTCAAGGCAGACGCACTGAGAAGGGCAAAGCTGGGCAAGGGGTGGAGGGGTGCCACAGGCAAAGCTGCCTAAGTCCTATGCCCATCACAAGGGCTGCAGTGTGGGCCCCAAACCCACAGTAGCCAGCTCTCAAGACTGATAGGATTTAGCCACTGAGACAGAAGCAGGCAGAGGAGGTCACGTTCCAACAGGCAAAGCTGGGCCCACAAAAAAGGAGTGGCACTGTCAGATGGGGAGCTGGGAGAGATAATTTGGGGACTGGAAGGAGTCCCCATTTCTCCTGCATCTCCCATTCCACTGAGTCCCCCTGGGGTTGGAGGCAGGGGGCGTGAGCAATGCAGAACTACCCCAAGAGTCATAAATCCCCACTATACCTGCATTCCTACCATATCAGCAGGCAGATAATAGGTATTGGGTAGATTCTGTGCTTGGCTCAGGGCTTGCCGTGTCACCCCTGCATGGAGACAGAGCAGAGGCACTAACCAGAGGCTTCAGCTTAACGAAGGGGTGTATATGCAGGTGGGAATGCATTGAGGGGGGAGGGGGAGGCCCTAGGAACGCAACTCTGCCTCAGGCCACCCTCATTTCCAGCTGGGGCTGTCCCGAATGACCCCCATCTCGAGCTACCAAAAAACTCAACACCATGTGTTTCCATCAGAAGTTTGGGGTCCCAGCACATACCCAAACCTTCCCAATACCTCATGGGGATAACAAGAGCCCCCTCATGGAGTACTGTGAAAGTTAATTGAGGCAATTTATATAAAATTCTTAGTATGATGCCTGGGACACATATGTGCTTCATAAATTACCATTGCTATAATCTCATTAAATAATAAAATGAGTTAAATTCAAGAACTGAAAGTGGAACTCAGCAGGGTAAAAATACAGATTCCTAATTTTCATCACATAGCCACCCCTGCATCCATTGAGGGTCCAGGGGGGGCATCTGTACAGATGACTAGAAGGGGCTGTGCCTTTCATGTGTGCCTTCATTGCTGGCATCCAGTGGCCTCTGGGAGGTGAGGCAGGGAGGGGAGAAGGAAAGAGCAGTAAGACGGAGAGGTGTGGGGGAGGGGGCAAGAAGCCAGGTCTCAGCAGTCAGCTTATTCCCAAAGAAAAGTGTAGCGGGGAGCAGCCCTTAAGACCATTTCATCTAACAGCCACTAGCAGAAGAGGAAAGTGAGGCTCAGAAAGGGGTTAAATCTTGCCCAAGACTATACAAGTTAGGGGTAGACCTGGGGCTGCCCAGTGCACTCAAGATGCCCTGTCCCCTACTCTTTCCAAGAGGCTACATGGATTGATTCCCCTTTATAGAAAAAGAAAAAAGAGCCGATGCTTCTCAACTTTCACAAAAGCAAAAGAGCTGAGATTTATCCAACTCCAGGGTTGCAAAGTCTAGACTTATTTTACGAGCACCCTATTTTGCTGTCAGGGGGCTGCTTAAGAATAGGGAAGGGAGTTGGCTCCCTGGGGCATCTGAGTGAGGCAGAGGGCAGGCCAAGGTGAAGCCCAAAGCCCAGGTCTACAGAGACAGAGACTGTCCAGACAGGGCTGGGGCCTCTGATCTCTCCTTGCCTCCCCTCCCAGAAAGGAGGTCAGCCTAAGAAGGGGAATCAGCAGAGGTCTCCCTGAAATTTTTAGATACGGCTCAGAGGCACAAGACTTTGAGGGTGTATGGGAAGAAGACAGCTAAACCAGGCTGTTGCCTAGAAAGCTCAATCGGGCCAGGCCTGATGGCTGTGGAGTAATATGGGCCCGTGGGGAGCACTCCCCTGATGAGGGCCATCTTACCCAACACTGTCATATGGGTTTCTCCCAAAGCCAAGTGGGTGAGATGCAGAGACCGCAGCCACCTCTGCTCAGACACCCAACGTACCTCCCCGGTCCCAAGGGGGAGTAAGAGGGGCCAAGCGAACCCAGGACTGGAAGGGCCGAGAGGCATCAGATGTCCCCTCCATGGTCCCCAGGACCAGGGCAGCCTGGAAAGAGGAAGCCACTGATGACCCAAGCCTCCTGGGCAATCAGTCTCTGTCGCTGCCCTTCCCTCTGTCTTTCTTTTTCCACAAAGGCTACTGAAACTCAGGGGAAACCATTCCCTTGCCCGTTCCTCTGTCCAAACCCATGTTTTGAGAGCAGAAAAATGGCCAAATGAGATAAACAGCTGGGAAACAAGAAAACATGGAGCAATTCCAACCTGGATAAATGAAGAAAAGTCCCCACATTTGTTGAAGAGGAAAGAAAACCAAAATTCCTACAAAAAGAGTCCAGAGGCAAAGAAAAGTCACAGCAGCTCTTTGGAAACCTCAGTTGCCTGAAGAGGCAATGGTGACTGCTTTCGCTGGAAGTAGGGTTCGCTCAGAGCAAGTTCTTGCTCATCAGCTGAGTCACTGAACCTCCTTGCTGACCTCAAGTCACTTCCTCGTCTGTCTCACTGATCTGTGCCCTTTAACAACCGTTCGGAGGTTTCCACTTTGCCTGGAGTGGAAAAACATGTGGGCCACTGAGGCTGAGGGGTACGTTGGCCCTTCATACGTGCCAGTTGTAAAACAGAAGTTTACAGCCTACAGTTCACATTCTCCTACTAGTTCCATCCACACCCATATATGCCAACAACACTGGCCAAAGAGATGGTGGCAGGCGGGTGACCATGGCATGGCTCAGCTTACCCCATGGCAAGAACATGTCCCAGCCCAGTGAACACATCCCAGCCCCTGTGCTCCACCAGCCTTGACTTTGTCCACCAAATATGACACCTTAGACTCTGCATACCCAAGGATCAACATTCATCTGATTGATGAGTCCCAGGGCTTGAAAACCTGTCCTGCCCATGCCCAAGGGCTAAGGGAAGACTCCAGCTTTACTGAGCAGAAGAGAGAAAAGAGCCGGTCGGCTAATTCTGCATACATTTTCTCTTGCCCAAAAGACAGCTGGCTTTATACTTGTCTTTCAGCCCCACCATGCATGGGGCTGGGCCTATACCAATTTCACAAGTGAACAAATGGCAGGCTCACCCACCCACCCCACCCTGCAGGACATGGAGGCAGTGCCTACCTCGCCGTACTGAGTGCAGTAGGTCTCAGGCTTGGTCAGGCCACAGGTGGATGAAGCTCGGAGAAACTGGGTCCTCCCAATGAGCAGGTCCCCAACAGGTGGATAGCAGGCCCCACGGGAGCAGGCTGGCTGGGCACACGGGAGGCTGAGCAAGACTGAAATCACAGGGATGCTAGGGTGCAGCCTAGAGAGGAGAGTCTAGCCAGCCACCCAGCATCCCTTAGGGAGGCAAGACTATATCCTCTCCCTCACCCATGCTCCCACTCGCTGGTGGTGGTAATGATTGCAATCCTGATGCTGTTAGGGGGAAAAGCTGATTTCATATTTGTAGCCTTCAGCTTACAATGGAAATGAGAAACACTGGCAATCAGAAACCACGGGCGATCCAGAAATGTGGCATCCATATGTGGCTTGTGGAATCCAGCTGCAGGCACACACTCGGCCACCAGGACACAGTTCACAACTCTCCTGACTCACAGGGTGGCCTTGGTCAACAGCCCAGAGGAGGGCTGGCTGTTGGCCATTTGTGGAACGCTGGGAGGAACCTGCATTCTTCTTACCCCCTCAGCTATACAGCTGACCCAGCTGCACTCTGTGAGTGCCCGGCTACAGTTCACTGTGACGTCTAGAACTCAAGCCTTGACTGCTCTGGAAGCAGCTTGCAGGTGAGAGGACGGGAGAGACACTGTGCAGGGCATGTGGGGAGCCACAAACCACCCCCGTGCAGGAGTATGTGGACACTCAGGAGAAGTCGAAAAACATCTTCCCCAAAGGACCAATGGGGCAGGGAAACCTCACGTGTGTCCCCAGTCGACAAGCGTTCCGAACCCAAAGGCTACAGAGGACAGACAGGTGGTGCTCATATTTCAGTAAACTGTCCTCTTACCCATGGCTGTCACCTCTGTCCTATGTAACAGGGCCTGGAAGGATGCGGAGGGACACTTACCAAACCACAGGAGAAGGAGCGGCCTCATCTTCAGCCGGCGGGGTGCTCCCTGCGAGGACCTCACCTGGGACAGAGTAAAGCAGCCTGGAGGCACACTCACACCTCTCCTGTTCTGGACCTAAGTTTCCTCAGAAGTCCTTTCTAGGGTCTTGATCTAGGACACTTCTGAGCAGCAGGTGTACCTGTAGCCAAAACCTTGGGAAATACCAGAGCTCTGGACTCCTGTCCCAGCCGCATGTGACCCATAGGGTGCCCTGAGAAAGGGTCTCCCCTCCCAGGCTTCAGCCTCTTCCTCTGTAAGGGAAGGGGAAGGAGACCGGCCCTGCCCTGCTCCATATAGTCGCACGGACAATGTGGAGCAAGAACTAGCTGCACCCTGTGCAGGGAGGAGGCTCTAGAGAGGCCCCACCTTTGCTGCTGTCCCTAGAAAGAGGCCTCGCCTTGCTCAGGGCCTGGCCCAGCCTGCAGGCCCCAAAGTGAGCGGTTCAAGTGGCTGAAGACCTGGAGGTGAGCCTTTTCTTGCCATTGGCATGGTCTCCAGTACCATCCAGGGCCACCCTGAGGGTGAGGCTGTGATGGCCACACCTCTGGGCTCAGCAGGTAGCTGAGATGCGATGGGGAGAAAGGGGGGCCTGGAAGTGTTTAAAAAGTGAGGATTTCATCTGAACTGGAAGTCACTCAAAATGTCTCCAATGGTGGGCCGGGGCTGTGTGGGAGGGGTGGGGCTGGGAGGCCACCCCGCAGGGATTCTGAAGGAGGCTGGCCTTGGCTCCTGAAGGGTGAGGAGGCACACAGGCCTGCCCTGCTGAGGCATTCTCCACACGTGTTCCTGCAGAGCCTGCGTCTGCCTCCCACCTGGCGCTGCCCCAATGACAGCCACTAACTCCTCTGCCTGGGGTCCAGTGACGGGGGCTTGGCAAGACAGGGGCAGAGAAGGAATGGGGGGCTGTCCTGGCATCATTATATCATACATCCTAATGCTTCAAAATCACTCCTTCCAATCCCCTCCCAGAAGAGTCAGGGTCCCAGGGAGGGGACAGGTGGCCCAAGGTCCCACAGCTAACCTGGCCTAAAAGGGATACCCATCCCCTGGTTCTCACCCGGTGCTGTCTCTGCCCCCCCACACCCCACCCTCACCCCCACTGGGATGGAACCCCCACAGCTAGGCCTTCTGAGCATCCCTTAGAGGGGCTCTTGCTGGGCCAGCCCACCCTTTCCACTTCTCTTTGTGCTCAGCCCCAGATCTAAAGTTGCTTTCTTCTAAGGGCTGAGACACTTACCAGACGAGAAAAAGCAGTCTAAACCCAGGCCGACATTGAACCTAGCCTTTGGAGGCGGCGCGCTCAGGTGCGCTCTTAGGAAAAGGAATGAATCAGGCCCCAGACACGCAGATGGAGAGCCCTCTCCCAGCCCTGGCCCCACGGGGCTGGTGAAGGCAGGTAACATACCTTGCTCCGTGCCGTTGCTGTTCTTTCTCCAGATTGCGTCTCCTAGAGCGCCCCTTGAATGTGGGGGTCTCCCCTCCTGGCTCTCGGGTTTTCAACGACAGCCTCACCTCGGGAGACTCCCCGGCTGGGCGTGGCCCACTGCAGGGCAGGCCGCAGGAATCTGGCAGGCGGCACGCCCATCTGCCGTCACTACCACCTCCCACCCACCCAGGGACAGGACTGGACAAGTGGGCCGGTCCCAGAGGCCTCACAGCAAGCTTGGCTGCCTGGGGGTGCCTGCGGGGAATAGAGGGGGACACTGCAAACAGAAAGCACCAGGCAAATGTTAGTGCTCATTTGAGACCAGCATTCCTGGGCGGAGAAGGGCACTCGCATTTGTGGCGAGTGCTGTACTCAGCACTTTCCCAAGCCCGGTGAGGGTCAGCGCCCTCGTGTTCAGGACCCCTGAGAGGACCAAGCAGAGGCCACAAAGATCACATAGGGTGTCATCGTCCCAGTCACTGGGCTGGAAGAGGAGAAGACCCACACAGTCAGGGTCCTGGAGAGCACCAGACCACACCCCCAAGGGAAAACAATCAAGGTGGAAAATCCCTATTTCAGGGGAAACTTGGAGGACCCTTAAAAGGCAGTTCATCAGGAAGGGATCAAAGCCCAATGCACCCAAGGAAAGCTTAGGAGCAAAAATCATGTCCCCTCCGGCCCCATCTGCAGAGTTGGCAGGGAGCCCTAGAACAGGTAACTCTGAGTCACTGCACCCAGCACAGCGGGCTGCTCTCCCAGCCCTCCCTCCCTGGCAGGAGTGCCCGCAGGGAGGGCTGGCAATCAGACCTGACCACGAGCGACTGGAGGCAAGGCCACAGCCTAACTGGACCAACTTCCCCTGGCCGTGCACCAGGCCTGAGAACACAGCTGCCTTTGAGGGGCTCTGGGCGGGCTCCTGGCTCAGGGCCACGGGACCGAGAGCCACCGTAAAGTCAGTAGCAGGCCTAGACGCAGGGGCTGGGCTCAGAGGACACTCTTCCCCCCACGTGAGGGTCAGAGGGCCTTTAGAGAGATCTAGAAGGTCACCCAGTCCATATCTTGGCCTTTGAGAGTCTGCACTGGCATTGTTTTGAAACACTATTGCCTCAAATGTTCTGAAGGACCCTGACGACCCAGCACAGCCTGTCAGTGTCTCCTAAGCAGAAAGTTCTCTACAACTGAAGGGGTGAGTCCAAGAGATTGGTTTGGGAATTCTTAAGGGAAAAATGTCAGATTTTGCAGATTGAACTGAGCATTTCTAATTCTCAGTTCTAATTTAGTCCATCAGTTTAGATGGGCAGGGGAAATACTATAATTAGCAAATGGCCAGTAAGTTGTTTAGATTCCTAACAGATGCTCCAGTGAATGTCCGTGTCTTGACCCCGGTAGGCATCCCAGCAAAATCCAGTTTGACTCAACAAGCTGGGGTAGCAGAGCAGCTCCCTTTATGGGTCCTACCCCTGCAGTGAGAACACAGAAGGACCCCCCCAAGTGCCCCAGAGAAAGGCCACTGCTGACAGCCCCCGGTCTGAACCCACCCACTTGCACTCCCCTTGCCCAGCCCCTGAACTCTGGGCTTCCCAGGAGCTTGCACCCGGAGAACTGCCATCCTCTGCTCACCACCAGGAAAGAGGATGTGACAAAGAACTCATTAATAGTTAACTCAGCAGGAAGAGCAGGTGTTGCAACCCCAGATGCCCAGACGAGGCGGGGTGGGTATGCGGTGGGCCTCACCGTGAATGGCTGGGGCCCTTCAAGTCCCCCTCTTGCTCCACCTTTACAAGGCCAGGAGCCCAGGTAGAAAAGCCGTTGGTGTCTCAGCCTTCACAGGCCGGGGCAGGTCCCAGGAGTGGGCTGGCCTCACAGAGAAAAATGGTAAGTGTGCTTTTTGAGCCCCCAGTGTACTCACAGCCAAGCCCAGGAGAATGTTTCTGCAAACCCCAAGGGTAGTCCAGTCAGCCTCACTCCTCAGGGACTCTGAGCACTGCCCAGTGGGGAATCTAGGCCCCAAGGATGCCAAGACCTCAGGCACAGGCTGGAACTTTAGAGCCCACTTTGTGCAGGGGCAGAGGCCGGGTTAGGACCCAGCTGGCGCTACAAGGCCCTGACAGCACAGCCTCCCCTCTGGCTCCCCTTCCCTCTCTCCCTGCCTCCCACCATCCTGTCCTGGAGCCTTTGGCCCTCAGAGCCCCAAGCCTCGGCTCCTCAGGAGAGCCAGTGGTCAAGTCATCCTTGACTCCTGTTACTCGTTCACATCAGTCTATCAGAAGGTTCTGTGAGCTCCCTTCCAAGGGCAGCCAGAACCTCTCCCACCCTCCTGGCCTCATGTCCTTCCCCTGCTCAGAGCCCTGCACTAGCTCCCCATCTCAGGCAGGGTCGAGGCCAAAGCTGCCAGGGAGTCTGTGAGGCGCACCTGACGCGCCCACCCCAGCGCCTCTCTCTCTCTGCCACCGCTCTCCCGAAGTCCTTTCACTCCAGCCGTAAGGCCTCCGAGTTACCAGGCCGCCTCTGCCTTAGGCTTCTGTCCCAGCTGCCCTCTGCCCGGAACGCTCCTCCCCCAGTGTCTGCAAGGCCGACTCTCTTACTCTTTAAGTCTCTGCTCAGATGCTACTTCTCAAGGACGCCTACTGGACCAGACTCTTCAAGTGGCGGCCGCCTCCCCTGCCCCACCCGTGTCGCCCACCCACAGCACTCCCAACCCACCTACCCTCCATTCTGGGGGGATTGGTTGGTTTTTTTGTTGTTGTTGTTGTTGCAATGTTTACCGTCTTCTAACCAACTCTATAACTTACCTATTTGTCATGTTTATTTTCTCTCCCCCTACCAGAATGTAATGTCCAAGAAGGCAGAGATTTTTGTCTATTTTGGTCATTACTACTTTCCAAGTGCCTAGAAATAGTGCCTGGCACATAGTAGGTGCTTAATATTTATGGAATGACATGTAAACAATTGATGTGGTTTAATGAGTCCCCTTGCCCTGTATACCTGTAGTTGCATTCTCAGAGGGGACAGTCTGGGCTTTTGGTTACCAGAATGGATAGCTAATAACAGAAATCCCTGCAGTAGTCAGATGCAAAGGGCTGTCTTTATGGAAGCACTTGCCCCCAGATTACAGAACCCTCACCGTGTCGATGTAGGCAGTGTCCTTTTCTGCCTGCCTATCAGTCATTCCTGGCAGTATCTCTGACAGGGTGTGGGGGTGGCATTAGAAGCTACTGTCTCCATTATCCGTCTGTCAGGCTCAAACTGTCCAAGTGGCCAGGGAGAATTCAGCCAAGATCTGGCCAGGGAGAGATCAGGGGACAGGAGGAAGGAAAGGAGGAAGGGAGAAAAGGCTGAGCAGGATACGAGCCTGCTCCAGGCCGCGACTGCTGATTCTCAGGTGTCAGAGGAGGGGGCGCCCTGTGACTAAGGCCCCAGCAGCACCTGGGTGCAGTGAGTCACAGCTGAGTCCTCGTCTGTGGGACCGAGTGGGCCCCAGGAGCAGCCCTGGGGATTTGCCATGTGATTCAAGCTGGCGTGGCCGCCCAGACAGTTGGCCACTCTCTGTGGGTCTCTCTGAGAAGCAGAGAGAGAAAGTGGGTCTGTCGTGGTAACTGGGCACAGACAGAACCCAGCCCCAGGCCAAGGCCAGCAGTGAGCAGCACGGGAGCCCGGGGCCCCTGCCATGAGGCTGACTGGATTGCACACCCTTCCTTACCTCCCAACCTGAAGTCTGCCCAGCAGATGAGGCCACACCACACAGTAGCTTGGGCCTGAGGTCTGGGAGAAATCAGACCGTCAGCCTAAATTAGCTACAGCTAGCATTTTACCAAGCGCTCACAGTGGGCCACGCGCTCACTGTTCTAAGCCCTTTATATGCATTGACTCACTTAATACACACTGCTTCTCTGGGGGGGTAGACACTTATTTATCCTCACATTGCAGATGAAGAAATGAAGCATGTTCTCAATAACTCAGTCCCAGCCAGTAGTCATTTGAACCCAGGCCAGTTTGACCCCACACTGACACTCCTAACCATTTCTTAGAGCCTAAGGCGGCCTAAACTCCCCATCTCCATCCTTGTCATCCTTGACCAGATTCCCAGACTCTGAACTTCATGACTCCCAAGTCTAATCAAGACCTGATGTCTGAAAATGCTTCTTTTAGCCTTTGCTCCAGCCTTGGAGCGCTGATTTGGGCCAGGGGCTCTGGGGGAGGCCCCGATGCCGAGGAGCATGCAGAACGGACACCACTCGGGGCCTTCTTGCTTGTTTCCCACACTGACAGCCTGTCTTGTGCGGGCACAGATGGAGAAGGTTCTGGCCTCCGGGTCCCCATCTCAGGGGCTCCAGCACATGCCACAGGGTCTCCTCCTCATGCCCCCAGGCCACTGCCCCAAGTGAGGATGTGAGCACCCTCTAAGGAGTGAAAAAACAGAGAGGACGACCAGACACGCAACACAGTGAGCTAACAAGATGAAATAAAGGGCACGTGGACAGGATGACACAACTTCCCCTTGCCATAGAAAGGGGGTTCCCCTCCCTGAGGTCAGGCTCCTGCGTCACCTGGGGACCTCAGCTCCTTCTGCTTCATCTCCCTGTGCACCCCAAATGTCCCAACCCCTCTCTCCTGAGGGCACAGCCAGGGCAGCCTGCAGCTTGGGGGGTCCAGTACTGGCCCAAGGCTGGCCCATGGCTGCCTGGCTCCCCAGAGAAGAGGGAGGGCCATCCTGGCATTTCTGGCACCCTCACTGGCCTCCCAAATTCCCCACCTTCCCCGGCAGTCAGGTGGGCTCATGGCCACACCTCTCCCCCTCCGCCAACCACCCCTGCCTCTACTATCCAGCCATTGCCCTCTGGGAACTGGGCTCTGGGGAGGTAAGTCCAACCTCGGTGACCTCTGGCCACAGATTTGCATGTGGAGCTGGCCATGTAGCCCAGCCTCACCTAGAGGGAGAGACGTACACCTGACAGGGGCACTGGAGACCCAAAGGCTGCGATAGACAGGGGGACAAGGGGCATGTGTATCCGAAGAGCTGCTCCCCATGCGAGCAGAGGGACTTTTAAATTATAAAATGATCCCTGAAAGGGCTGCCAGGGTGACAAACTCAACTTCTTAATGTCAAATTGGCATTTGAGGACCTCGTGTGAGAAATGAGGGCCTTGTGGCTTGCGGGGGAAGGGCTATGGGTGCTAAAGGCTTCATGTCTGGAATGAAGCCCACCTGAAGGCTTTTCACCAGCACGTCTTGCAGTGCCTGTGGCCACACAGGGTCTGTGTATGGACTTGGGTCTTACATCTGAGACCCAGTTCCAGCTCTGCAACTCAGTAAGAGTAACCTTGAGCCAGCCAGCCCCTCTCGGGGCCTCAGTTTCATCAGTTGTAAATCAAAGTGTAGGATTTTACTGGTTCTCAACCCAGGCTGCCCCTCAGAATTTCTTGCAGAATTTATAAAATCTTATACACAGGCCAGGCCCCACCCAGGGATTTAATTGGCTTACAGAGGGGCAGGACCACTCTCTATGCATTTAAAGCTTCCCTGAAGCCGCCTCCAGCTCTGGGTGCTCCACTCTCCAGGGAAGAGGAACGAACGGGTAGGGGAGGAGGGCTCAGGGCAGCGGTTAAAGCCTGGGGCTGGAGAGAGAGGGGGGAAGATACCGCCTTAGTTCTGCACTCGCCAGCTGTGACCTTGGAAAAGCAAAGCTTCGGATGGGAGTAACAACAATCGGCCTCACGGACCCTTGCAAAGATTAAAGGAAACGCGGCATATATAACTCTCAGCAAAGTATCAGGCTAGGTATGTGCTCTGCAAAGGTTGTCCCCATGTGTGCGTCAGATGCTGGTGTTGGGGGTTTGTGCTTAACAGTTGTGCTTAACAACAAACAAGTATTACTCCCATCCAGATGTTTCATAACTCAGTCAATGGGCAGCGAGCCGACCTGGGCTTCTCCCCTCAACCTTCCCCAGGGGAGATCCCAAGCTGAGAATCTGTGCTCTGGCCTGCCACCCTGTTCCTTGGTGACTGCAAATTCCCAGGACCTGGACCAGAAGGGAAGAGGGGCCTCTCAGGGGGCCAACAGAGCTAAGCTCTCTGAGAGCAAGGTGATGCTTCCAGCCTTCCTGGGCAGGGACGGTGGGGTGGGCATGGTTACAAACAGGGGGCAGAGGGCAGAGGAACAAGCATAGGCAGGATAGACTGTTTTATAGCCTTCAAGAGTCAGTAAAACCAGAGTTCAACACCTGATAAAGACAGGAGTCAAAACTAATCTGGGCAGCAGGTCTGAGGACTATAGACAAAAAGCACTTTCTTTTCCTGGGGCCTCTGCTTACACAGAACAAAGTCTGGCCAACAGCCTCTCAAAGGTGGTAAGTCCTTATCAGACCTAATACCTTCCTCTTAAAACAGCATTCAAAACTGACCCCCTCCTCAAAAATAATGATAAAGAAGGAAATGTTTATGAGACGCCGCTAAGTAGTGGAAAAAATAAGAAAACAAATGTGCAAAAAATCTACT